GCAACATTCAGTTATGGGTATACAAAGTAATTCCAACAGTACAATTTGTATTGTTTTTGGCCACAGCATAGGTAGGAGAAAACCACTGGGCCATCTCTCCCCAATGCCACAGACTGGACATGATGGTGGTCATGATGGAGGACTTTAAAAAGTATATACATATGTTTATTTCTGAAGGGTATGTCTTAAACAGAGCACTGGCATGTTTGTTAAAAATGTAAAACATCAAGGAAATGAAATAAGCCTAAACCAGATGCAGCACTGTTTCTGAAAAGGAAAATTCAATTTGATGCCTTTTTTATAACAATAAACACACAATCTCATTACTTGCACAGTCTGGTAGTCGTGTACAGTAAGCTTCATTTTTCATTATAAACTGGGCTGAATAGTTTTTTTCCAGTAAAGTTCCAGTCTTTCAGAAACAATTCTGGCAGTTCTGATGCCAAACCTCGTGATTCCAAGAGACATGTACCCTGTGGAGACTTGCACTGCTGGCAGATTGGAACTAAGCACTTGCCGTGTCCTGACTGGAAATTTACTAAATGGGAACCTGCAGGGAATGTGCAAAAATAACAAATGATGTGCTGGAATACATAATTGTATTATTTTCTCCCAAGTTGCCCTGGAAACTTGATATAAGTTTAAGAATAAGCCACAAAAGTGTGTCCCATTCCCAGACATACATAATGAAAATGATTCATTGTGAGGAGAGAACGTTGTACCTTAGTGTTGTTTGCCCTAAACATAATTCATTCTCTTTGCCATGTTGGAAACTTTCAGAATGAGTCAGGTCCTTGGGGTTGCTTTAATATTAAATGAATCAGCGCTCATCGGTCAGAGCCACCTCCTCTCACTTCTTCATCATCATCAGGTTTCTTACAATATTCTGAATTTGTATGTGACTACACAAGTATGTCTAACAGGGCAAACTGAATCAGTGATTACACCATATTTGACCTTTTAAATGTATTCATCACTTATGAAGGATCTATGAGGATTTAAATTGAATGTAGATAAGCAAATGTAATTTAAAAGTTCACACTCACATACAGAGCAGTTTACCTCAACATTCTGAAGGGCAAAATGTGGGAGTTTGCTCCTGACTCATACAATATTACAGTTTTTGTGACAATAAAGAGGACTGACGTAACGTAAACTTAGTAGGAAGTAAGGGGATTAATAAAGAACAGGTTGCCAGCCTTGATTATCCAAAATTTGCACATCAGGGACAAATGATTAGACTTAGACCGTGTGTGTGAAGACAGGCAGAGTTGTGAGTTGTAAGTACGCCTTTATTTAGACGTTACGAATATGTGGTGGCACTAATGGACAGAAACGTTTCGGAACCATCAATGGTTCCTTCATCAGGCAAACATAGTGACAACCATACCTCCACTATCTTGCAAAGCAATGCATTAACCCCTTCACCTCCATCCTGCCACTGTATGTGACCTATACTGTACATAAGCCCCTTCACCTCCACCAAATGTATGACCTGTACATTTATTATATGTTGTGCAGTATTACTAAGCTCCATGTTTTAACCCCCTCAACTCCGGCATGTTTTTTCATTAAAAAAATTGCGACAAAAAAATGAGATGATCTTGGAGTATCTTCTTTCCAAAATTTTTGGGGTTTTTGCACTGTTCTCACATTTTAATTTGCTATGATTTATAAATGAAAGTAAAAGAAACAGGCTTTTTTTTCAAACGTCTTGGTCTTTTTACTGTATATAGTAAACAATAAAAACATTTTTTAATTAAAGACCACAAAGGGCTTATTCACACCATGTCCAGTCGTTTCAGCACGGTAAGTGGCTGGAACGCATTGGATCGCATAGTGGAAGCCTATCTTCATTCTGGGGCAGGAGGGGGAATGAGGGTACATTCAGGTGAAAGGCACAGCTGCTACACCCCCTCCCTGCCCGCAGTGCAATCAGCCGCACCAGAGCGCATGGCACAGCAATGCCTGCATTCCGGTCCGGTGCAATCGCAAACAATAGTGCATGAATAGTGCAATCGCACTGCGGTCGGAGGGGTGTGGCAGAATGCAAGGAGCCTTACAGTATGTGATCCAGTACATTCCAGCAGCTAACCGTGCTGGAACGCACTGGAATTGGTGTGAACGGGCCCTAAAAGAAAGCTCTCTCTGTCTCAAAAATTATATAAAAGGAATTTGGTTACAGGGTTGCGTGAGGGAGGAAACTTGCACAGCGCTGAAAACTGAAATATAGCATGGCAATAAGGGGGCTGTAACATGCCAGTACCGAAATAGTTAAATAACCAGCTCTAGACAGATATGAATCAAGCAGATCAGGATTGGATACATACACAGTAATTGACCAGGATCTGCAAATCTTAAAAGGCGTATAATTAAGCTTTGTCATAAAATTGCCATGTCAAAAACCTTTAGCAGAGCCCTCAACAGATTTTATTGTATGCTGGTTGAAAGGTGCAATACACATTTTAAGTCTGGCTCTAATTGACCTGAAACTGCCCTTTTTCGCACAGCTTTAGCTCTCAAATGTTACACCTAATCCATAATTCTGGTTATGATAAAATTACATGCATAACAAGCATCTACCCAAATATATAACTATCAGTTGGATACTAAACACCCCTCCATTACTTCTCCTGAGGAAGCCAAACAAAAGATCAATATCATGTCGGATGTCTATAAAATTGTGATTTAATTCTGTGAAATAATATGTTGGTTTTTGGACTGTAAAACATGGTCATCTGAAAATATGAATGCAATTAAAAATCTATCTTGGGGAAGTGTCTGCTACAATATCATAAAATACCTCAACACCCCTCAGACCCTTTGATTGGTTATGCAATTTCTGTAAATACTCTCTGGAGGGTCAAAAAAAACTGTTACAATTGGCAGCTGCAGCTCTCAATTTACCACCGAAATTATGACGGATTGCTAGTTTTCTGGAGGCCAGTGACTCTATCAAAATTGGACTTATTCTGAAGTGTAGTGGAGGCTGCACATGAACCAAAGACTATGCAAATTTTGTTAAGTACTTTTCAATTTTAATCCCATTGTTTTAACTGTTGCTAATTGTCTGTTTTGTAATTTTATTTTTCTGCAAGTCATTTCTTGCACTGATTTTCTCTTCTTTAAAACAAGATTAAAAAATCAATTAATTCTAAATACTCTGAAAATTAGAAATTTAGGAATCCTTGCTTCTTTGAATAAAACTACCATGTGTTAAACTCTGTTACTTTCTCCCTGGTGTGGCAGCGGGTGTCAAAGACATTTCTCAAAGGTCAGGATTGTTATAGCAGATACTGAAAATGGTGTGTGTGTTCCTTAAAATACGTGGTGGCAGCTATTGTTTGTGTGTGTAAAGGAATACCCACAGAGTTAACCGCCCAAGTGACAATCACTCTCAGTCTGCTGGCACTTAGATTATTGTCCTATGAGCTGAAAAATGCCTGCAGAAGGTAAGGCTGAGAGTGTGGCATGTCACATTCTTGTGGCAGCGGTCAGATTCGAGATTGTCGCTCTCACAGCCTTATTTGTTTATGTCCTGCTTTATATGCTTAAAGTAGTTTATACAGAGCAGTCTGCACACTGGCCTGGCCACTGCGAGTTGATTGCTAATTCTGTTTATAGCTCTGTCTTGAAAGTTGTTTTGAAAGTTGTGAGAGCATTAATTAGCATTTAACAAGCTTTCTCACGCATAACCTTATTGTTTATAAAAATGTCTATATTCATCAGTAGGTCTATATTCAGACTGTGGGAAATGCAAAGACAGCTGCCTCTGGCTTCATAGCACTTCAGGAGCATAGTTATATGTTCCTCAGCGTAAAAGAGGAAATTCTGTTTTCCGAACACTGCACTCAGCAATGACACAAGAAATGACCATTGGTGTCCAGATTCACACTCTAGACACCCAACCCAGCATGCAAAGCACCCAGTGCCTCCTAGCTACCGAGGAATAGCTCTGCTTCAGCATGCTGCCACACCAGCTCTCCATTACCTTGTCTCACCTTTGATTACTGCTCTAGTGTGGAACAGTCCACATTTTATTTTTATCACCATGATCCCATGGCTCTCATTTTGTTGCAGTAAGAAAAAGGGACAAACATGCTGGGAATGCAAAGCTTATTTACCAAGATCTTTTTTTTTTCTTCTTCTAAAGTAAAAATACCAACTTGTCAGTGGTTGCAGATAACACACAGAACTGTTAATCACAATAGACATTATGGCACATGTGCACTCTTTCATAGGTTCTCATAGGTTCTTTCATAGGTGACACTACCACGCTCCTCTTGGAAGGGGAACACCGTCACACATAATGGGCCTAGGTCAATTCCTCTCCAGACAGAAAATATTTGCAATAGCCAATAGTAAACTAGCATTGTACCCGCCCTCTGCTGCAGTTCTCCATCAGCAGAGGGCGTTTTTTTTTCTTTCTATTCTGACATCGCTCCGTGTCAGAATAAAGAAAAAAAAGAAACAGCAATGTTTCTCTCCTTGGCGGCCGGTAGCGGGAGGCTCCCAGAGTGCCCGTGAGAGATTTTTTTTGTTTTTTGACGGCAGCAGAGCCGCCGGACAATAGGAAACTATTGCTGGTCATTCACTCGGCTGCCTACAGCAGCTTAGTGAATAGACCCCATAGTATCTCCCTATTAGGCAACGACCCCACAGTCACCGATTCCTCCCTCTGATCACATTCCCTTTCTACTGATAAGAGGATAACTTCTCCAATCAGAAAGAACAGGTGGTTGGCATAGAACTCCAGAGGGAGACCCATATAACCCCTTAAATATTCCAATATTTTAATATGTAATTTAGCAAAGATGCTGTTTACAAATGCGTGACATATAGGTGCTCTCTCTACTGTATGGTCAGTAAAAATGGACTTCAACCATCCCTCTCTATTGAATATCATCCTGCTCTGTGTTACACTAATACTCTTTGATATACACAATGATATCGCAGTTTACTGCAGCATACGTGCAGATACAATTTTTGACACTACTTACTAGCTTTTTTCGGACACTTCATGCATTTGTTGAAACCCCAGGATGTTCCCACCGTTCCACAGCAATCGTCTTGCTTTGAAAGTCCTGGAAGTGGCTTTCCACACTTAGAAAAAGAGAAAATAAACAATAAGTTCACAGACCACTGCACATCACATACTAATGGTAAAAATACAGAGATTACAACCAAAACAGCAGTAAAGAAAATCCATACAGACATCAGAACAAGTTGCAGTTTTGGTGTGTTTTAAAAAACCTACACTGAGGGAATATGTAGGCTGCCACTGACCCTATGCTAAAAAGGCTAGCTGTTTGGCTGTCATGCTGATCCAATAGTCAATAGTCCAGAACAAGTGATCTAATTAGAGTTCTGACTTAACTCTGACTTTCTAAGTTTCATGTTTGTTCCAGGTCAGTGACTCACACAGTATGAAAACCAGAGGAAGCCAGCAACTGCTATTCTTGGGATTAGGTCAGCAAAAGCAGACTCTGTACTTCTCTTACTTCAGATTATTTTAAAATAGTGATTGGTTACTAAAGGTAATGTGACACTGACCAACAAATCCTTTGTCTACCTCAAAAAGAGATAATGTAATTCCTGAAGCTGTTAACCAATACTTTTATATGTGCTGTGCCAAGGCTTTCCAAACAAAGGGATATAGTGAATGAAGACGGCATATTATTCTTCTGGCAGGCTGTCATACTGTATAATCAGTCACACAACTGCCAGTAGGTTTGAAAATTAATTTTCGGACTGGCCTGATCACTAGGGAATTAAACAACTGGCCCACATTCATTTCAACGTAGAATACTACTTCATACCACACACCAGTAAATATTTTTGGCAGACAAAAATTTTAAATTTGAAAAGAATTCACCAAAATAATTTGGATCATATGCTTTCAATCAACATTTTACATTTGTCCCCCACCTCTGGATAGCAAAAGTACAGGTCAGCCTAGTCTGTAGCTAAAACAAATCTGGTTTTCCTGTTTTACTGGAAAAACAAATTTGTAACTTTTTATAGCCTTTGGAGTCCCAATGGAAACAAGTGTTAAATAAATCCTAATGTATTGTATATTAGATAGGAATCAAATGGAAATACCATTCCTATGCATAGGGGCCTACAGTTCCAACAACAAAAGGAACATTTTCATAATTACAATACTGCACAGCTCTAAATGTAATAGAAAGTTTCCATACTTTTTACAAGACATGTACTGTAATATTTATAAAATACAGCAGCTGCTCATAGGGAACCAGACATTAGATAGAAACAGTAAGGGGTTAATTCACAAAGGTGCTGAAGGATCCAGCCATAGTTTCGGCTGATCCTTCAGCTCTCTTCGGCTGCCGGAGCCCTTAGGTTCAGTCGAACCAAAGGGCTGCTTTACGGGCTATTCAATATAGCCCGTACAGCAACCGAAGGCGGCCAAGCCGAAGTCATATGACAGTCGAAGCGGGGTGTACGGCCTGCCACAAATGACAGCTGGGCGGAGCGAAGGCAGCCGTACAGAGCCGATTAAATCAGCCGTACAAGCCAGAAGTGCTTAGGCCACTTAGTGAATAACCCTGTAAATATTTATTGAAGTGTTTGTGAAAAAGTGGATTATATGGACCTAAGCTTTTAAAATAAAAAAACTATATGTATGTATAAGATATGTATGTCTAGCATATAAATTATGGTGTCCATAGTGATTAGTTACATTCCTTTCCATTTTCAGGCTTTCACTGCACAAATGTTTGAAACTGGTTGGCTGCTAAGGACTAAAACAGGGACCCCTAAATGGTGGACTGTGATCTGGAAACGGACCGAATGGCGGTTCTTCCTGGACGGCGATCTCCACCCTGCACTGGGTTATGGATGGCTGACAGTGGATACAGTGGCCTCTGAGGCCGGTGCAACCCTGCCACCCCCACCATGTGATTCGAATGAACACATGCATGTAGGTCTTGCACATGTATGTAAACTGGGAGGGAGGAGTTCTAGCAAAAAAAAAGTGCAATGTGCTGGGATTGGTGCATCAGCACTGTGCCTGGGAACACGCACCAGCAGCTGTGAGTTGTAGTGCAGCTGCTTTGTGAATGCAGCCTAAATGGCGGACTACGGTAAGGACTGAGTGACCGTTGTGTCTGGACCACAATTCAGACGTTTGCTTAATGAAAATTTTACTCACCAACCCTCAATGAATTTTAATTCACTACCCCTAATGTCAAAGAACACTATCCTTGAAATCACCATCATGCAAGAAACCATCTGTTGATTCAAGCTACTGTCATAGACAACTGACAAAGTAAACACTGTCAAGAGGATGAGGGCACATTTATGCTAGTTACTTTTAAACAAAATCATCCTTGAAGCACAAGTTCTCATTGAAGGGAATTCCCTCTTGCTCAGAGTGAAATACCCCTTGTATGGCTTTCTAATTTGTGGCTAAAGGTTAAGGCACTTTGCACACTATTCTTTGTGATCTATATCACTACCAGATCTTAGTTATACTTCACAGTACTGCTGTATACCAAAGCCAGAATTTGGGGTCCATTTATAAAACACAGGCCGAGTTTGTGGTATCTGAAGTAGCTTAATATGGCAGAGAGAGAACTCTGTGATTTGAGAAATGTGGTGTTAAAAGGTCACATGACCACACTCTACCAGCTTTTTTAAAAATACAACTTCCTTTAATTTTTATTATACTCTGCTGGCTTCAGACTTCTGAAGTTAAAGAAGTGCAATGCGGATTTTAGGGCTGTGCATTATGGCCATACCGCCGCTTTTTAAATGGACCCGTTACTATAGCAGGACTAACACTAAGCTAACACTACCTTGGTATAAAATAATTTAAGACATGAAAAAAAAAACATTTGTTTCAATATGTATACAACCTACAAATCAGAGGGATGGTAACAGTAATTAATCAGCTTTTGTACAAGTCTCAGCAGAAGACAAATCCACAGGAGAACTTTTAATTATTTTTCTCACTCACTTTTGTTGTAGCAGAAGGCCTGAGGTAACCGAACAAAGAGTTTATGTAGCTGGGCAACACTGTGCCAAGGAAATAAATCACATATTGTACAAACTATTTGTTGTAAAGTATGACATTCCTGCACTTTTTCACTTTCGTTGTGTGAATAAAAATTGCCAGAAACGCTACCTTCTGCTGTCTTCCAAAAACAAGGAGATGCCTTTTGTATATTTATATCAATAACAATGCTTACAGGCTACTATCAAAAGTAGTGATTCCTAAGCTTTTTATCACAAAGGCTTCATGTGTTTGTCATAGATGACATTTGAGTCTCTCTAAATGTAGATATCATGACCATAAACTACAATGTAGTGTAAAGTATATCTATATTGAGAAAATCCTTTCTAAACCATTGTCCCAGGACAAATATACATATAGGGCATTCTGATTTTTCTCTTAATTTATATACTCTTGTTCTGTGACTTTTCTCTCATTTGCTCTACTTACATGCTCAGTCTACTGCTGGGCAACTAGCATTTTCAGGAGGCCAACAAAAAAGTACCCATAATCTCTCCTGTCAGGTCAAATTTATTGCAAGAGCAGACTATCAAGAAACTATATTTTTTACACATATATCTAAACCCAAGAACAAATATTGCAGCCTAAAGAAGAACTTTACCCATATCTTTAACCCCTTCATGACTGAGCTTGTTTTTCGTTTGTTTGTAAATGACTGATGCACTTTTGACATTTTTGCTGTGTGATTCTTCCACATCAGTAATATACTTTCTTACAAAGTGCACCCACACATATTATATATTGTTTTTAGAGGACAGACAGGGCTATATATTTATTTCACATATGTGTACCTAACGCCTCACTTAGGACAAATAAAATATAAAAAAGAGGAAAAACGTAAAGAAAACATTTTTTTCCCAGTTTTGATTTGGAGTGGCCTAGCCAGAGCCCAGACCTAAACCCCAAAAAGGTGTTGTAGAATGACCTCAAGAGAGCCATTCACACCAGACTTACTTTTTTTCTCCAGCACTGTGAATGTTTAATAGGTGTGTTAAAAAAAGACAAGAAATTAGAATTGCTTGTGCTTAAGCACATTGTGGTTGTCTATTGTTGTGACTTAGATGAGGATCAGATCACATTTTATGGCAAATTACTGCAGAAAACCAGTTAATTCCAAGGGGTTCACATACTTTTGTCTTGCCACTGTATTTGTCACTTTTTCCCATTAACATAACATAACTTTGGAAAAATATTACATTTACAGTAAAACTCTTGCTTAGTTCTCCGTGTTTATAAAGGGGCTAGGCAATTGTCGTTACCGTAATTAACTCTTCCTGTACTGTGCTGGCAGTTCAGCAATATCAGTTGTAAACTAGCTGTGAAGGACTGCCTGTCATAACAAAGGGTTAAAGATTCTCAAGGCACTGTATGTTAATTCAGTTTTTAACAAACTGTGCCTCAGTCTGTATCCTTATCTGCACATTGCCTATTATTATGCCCAAGGCACTAGAAGCTGCCTGTAGTGTCCTATGTATGAAAGTTGGTTATGAGTTGATGACTGCGTTTGCCATTTGTTTTGCTTGACTGATTTGGTGCAGTGACACACTGGAGGTCTCAGCTGCCGTTGTGATTTGTGCGGTCCCTTGTATGTCCCTATGCCTTTAAGGAGGTTGGGCTGCTTCCTGGCGAACCTGCACCCAATTTTATCTTTTGCTACATGTGCTCCAAGATGGAGACTCTCATAGGTTAGAGTTAGGACCGCACTACACAAAGGAGCGTTGATGAGGCAGTGCGGCTTTCCCATATTCTGCAGAAGACGTGTATCTAAAACCTCTGTTTTTAACCTTAGTGGTTAGACAGGTTTTTTTTGCATGCTGGCTGGTGAGTGTGCTGGGAAACTTTTTCTGATGTATAAACCTGCTACAAAGAAACAGCTAAAAAGGTAAGAAATATATATTTTAAAATTATATTTAGGTATGTTGTGTGAATGGTAACATAGTAGGGTTTTTTTTTTCAAATTTAACTGCAAAAGTTGAAATACACTTTAAGTATTTTTAGTATACCACATTTTGAAAAGATGAGACACCAAGTAACTTGTAGCAAAAAATCAACATTACATTATATT